CTCTGAGCCATCTCTCCAGCCCGAGGTCTAATTTTTTGAAGTTCTATTTTATATCCTAAATAATTAATAGAATCTCCTCTTTGTACCTTTTCTAAAGCAATTTGTAATCCCCAGCAAGCAAAATTTTCTTTACTTTTTCAAACATTCTTTCTAAAGTATCTGCATTTGAATCAGCTAATAAAATGTCATCCATATAATGATAAATTATAGATTTAGGAAATTTTTTACGTACCACTTCTAATGGCTGTTTTACAAAATATTGGCACAAAGTTGGGCTATTCAACATTCCCTGTGGGAGAACCCTCCATTGAAATCTTTTAACCGGTTGAGAATTATTATAAGTAGGCACTGTGAAAGCAAATCTTTCTCTGTCTTTTTCTTGTAAGGGTATTGAAAAGAAACAGTCTTTTAAATCAATAACTATGAGAGGCCAGCCTTTTGGTAACAGAGTAGGTAAAGGAATTCCAGAATGTAAAGAGCCCATTGGCTGAATTACTTTGTTAATTGCTCTAAGGTCTGTTATCATTCTCCATTTACCAGATTTTTTTTTTTATAACAAATACAGGAGAATTCCAAGGGCTGGTTGATTCTTCAATATGATGAGCATTTAACTGTTCTTCCACCAGCTCTTGTAAAGCCTGGAGTTTCTCTGTTGTTAAAGGCCATTGCTGAACCCATACAGGCTTGTCTGTTGACCATTTTAAAGGTAGAGCTGTTAATGTTTTTGGAAGATTATCAGTTGTTGTGCCCTGTTCTTGTATGACATGGATGGCTGGTGAGCACTCATTAGAATAATATCTTTTAATATTTCTCTCAGAAACATGTACTAATTTATGATTTGTTTCTGAGATTGGAGGGATATTAATCTGAGTATTCCATTGTTGTAACAAGTCTTGACCCCACAGGTTCATAGCTATGTTAGCCATATATGGTTTTAATTTTCCTTTCTGTCCTTCTGGACCTATACATTCAAGCCATCTTACACTTTGTTTCACTCTAGATAATGTTCCAATTCCTAAGAGTTGAATGTTTACCTCCTGAAGAGGCCAAGTTGGATGCCAAAATTCTGGTGCAATTATGGTAATGTCAGCACCTGTGTCTACCAGACCAGACAACAAAACATCATTTATTTTTATTGTTAGTTTTGGTCTTTGTTCATTAATAGAAGTTTGCCAAAAAATTTTCTTTATGTTTTTTCCTGTATTTCCTATTTTCTCTGTTTCATCATCTCGACTAACATGATTTATTCCAATAGACATTTGGTTATTTAGTTGCTTTGAGTAGGGGTTTCCTCTACAACTGCAGGAAAGGTTTGAACTGGATTTACTGTGGGGGCCTGCCTGAGGCCCCTCTGGGAGTTTCCCGAAGCTCGAGGCAGAGGGTTACCCTGTCTGTCCCTTGTTGATCTACATTCGTTGGTCCAGTGTTTTCCCTTACCACACCTTCTGCATACTCCAGAAGGAAGGGGCATTCTGTTGCCAGTGTTCCTTGAAGAAACATTATTTCTAGGAATGACCTGTTTACAATCCCTTTTCAAATGTCCTTGCTTTCCACATCCAAAACATCTAACATTGCTCAAACCTTTTGAAATTGCTTTTCCTACCCACATATCATCATGGTCATAAACCTCTACATTAACTGTATCTCTAATCCAATCTTCCAAAGGTGCAGATCTTGCCTTAAATGGCCTAATTATTCTTTTGCACGCTTCATTTGCATTCTCAAAGGCTAAAGATTCAATTATTATCTGACTAGCCTCTGAATTCGGGACCATTTTTTGTACTGCTGAAGTCAATCTTTGTAAGAAATCTGTGAAAGATTCTTTGGGGCCCTGTATAACCTTTGTAAATGACTCAGTTTTTTTCCTGGTTCTTCAACTCTGTCCCATGCATTCAAAGCTGCCGTTTTTCATAGAACTAGGGTTTGGACATCATATAAACATTGTGTTTGTACTGAAGCATATTGGCCTTCGCCAATAAGCTGATCCTGGCAGACTTGTATTCTGCTATCCCTCCATTGTCTTTCTATATTTTTAGCCTCATTACTGAACCACATTTTCCACTGGAGATTTTGTCCGGGTTCAAGAACAGCCTGTGCCAATTCCCGCCAGTCCTTTGGTAGAATCCTATTACAAGTTGACCAGGTGTTTAACATTTGCTTTACATATGGTTAGTGCATGCCATAAGATGCTATTGCCTCCTTAAATCTTCGTAAGTCTAACATTTCAACTGGAACCCAAGTATTTTGTTCATTCTCTTCATCAGGTAGCTGCTGTACGGCTACTGGATAAATTAAGGGTGATTGTGTGAAAACTGGCTTTCTTTCTGTAACCTTATGATCCAATTTTGAAACAACTTCACTATTTATTTCTTCTGTCTGAATTTGAATTTCTCTATAATTCATTTTTACCGGTTTAACAAGTTTTTCTAAGACTGTTATCCTGGCACTTAAGTTGACGATCTTTTAAAATAGTAAAATGAGGATAAGAAAAGTAATAAACTGAATAATTCGATCAATATTAATCTTTTCATATAGTTGTTCCATTGTCAGAGTGCCTAAAGTTTCAAACAAAGCCCAATTTTCTTCCAATGTACACATAAAGCCCATTTTTTTTTAATGTAGAAAAAAAATCTCTTTTAAATAGATATGTTAATTGACTTACCAAGTCTGGGTAGAACAGTAGAATCCCAGGGAATTTCACAGCCACCTGGTGTTCGAGGTGTGAATCCAGAGAGAGAGAGAGAGAGAGAGAGAGAGAGAGAGAGAGAGAGAAAGTGTAGCCGCTTGAGCCGAGTCAAGCCTTGGCTTTACAGGCAGGGGCCCTGTTCAGCAGGGCAGGTCTGAGTTGTTTGTAGCAGTTGCAAGTAGCTCCAGCTGCGGGTCAGTCAGGCCTGGGCCCAAGCTAGGCAGCCGGGCCGCCCAGGCTGGAAACCGGACCTGCCGCCAAGCCAAGCCAAGCGGTTTTTAATGAATTCTTGTCAAGTTGGGCGCCAAATGTAGATGTATCCAACCTTCTTATTAAATAAGAAACACAGAACCAATGCAAAGAAGAAAGCCAAGAGGTCAGAGCTAAGAGCTAAAACCTTACCCTTCCTCCTGCAGTGGTCCTACCTCTCTGAACCAGAGCTACCCCTGTGTTAAAGTCTTTATATAGAGTTCCTGTCCTGCCTTCTCATTGGTTGTAAACCCAACCACATGACCGCCTCCTCACAGCCTGTCTGTATAGGCCTCCAGGTTTTCCATGATTGGTATTAAGATTAAAGGCATGTGTATCCAATAATGGCTGTATCCCTGAACACACAGAGACTTACCCAGCTCTGCCTACCAAGTGCTGGAATTACAAGCGTATGCTACCACTGCCCTGCTTTCCTATGGCTTGCTAATAGCTCTGACCCCCGGGCAACTTTATTTATTAACATACAAATAACATTTTATTTTATTTTATTTTTTTATTTTATTTATTTTATTTTTTTTTGGTTTTTCGAGACAGGGTCTCTCTGTGTAGCTTTGCGCCTTTCCTGGAACTCACTCGGTAGTCCAGGCTGGCCTCGAACTCACAGAGATCCGCCTGGCTCTGCCTCCCGAGTGCTGGGATTAAAGGCATGCGCCACCACCGCCCGGCGAAATAACATTTTAATACAAATAAAATATCACCATAGCAGGACACAGGATAAAACTCCACAAAAGCAAGTTTCCATTTTCATATGTGTTTTTGTTTGTTGAGGTTGGAGGTGGGCCCTTTGGGAGTCAGTCCATCCAAGGCTTTTTCTGAGTCCTTGATGAAATCATCCAAGGGACACTAGTTCTGTGTATTGGCCTAAGGACAGACATGGCAAAGTCTGTTCTGGAATTTGAGCCACTGTGTTGAAGGAATCAAGGGTTCCAGACTCTTTAGCCTGAGGGGGTGTGGCTATCAGTCCCTAGGCCACCAGGTGCTCAGCCTGAGGTCGCCTGTGTTCTTCTTGCCCTGCCCCCTCTCAAATGGTGTGTAAGAGCTGTACTTAATAAACTTGCTTAGCATGAGCCATCAGTTTATGCAATATGTACTGCTCCATAACTTTCTATCTTCTCATTCCAGGTTGTCACCCTGAACACCTCCCCTTTGGGGCCCCTAATTGCTGGTGTTTCAGGTCACAAGCTGGTTTAACCTTTGATGTCCTTCCTGTCTCCACCTCCCAAGTGCTGGCATGATAGGCCAGTGCCACCATAGAAAGCTGGGAAAGTGTTAGTGTTTGGATGGCAAGGTGCAGCTGAGAGAGGTGTGAGCAGTCGTGGGTGTTCCTTACTGAAATTGCTGGTGCCTGGTGAATGTCAATCAGGTGGTTTATATTTGAATTGGGTGGACTGGGTACCATTTCAGCTGTGAGGGAGGGGGATCACTCCACTGCACATTGTTTAATGATCTTCATATGCTAGAGAGACCCGGTGGGCAGATGGAAAATTGTCTACTGAGTGAGGGACAAGTTCAGGGACGACTGTTCAGTATAGGTGCAAGTTTCTGCTTCAATGCCAATCTCTGCAGGTCTGTGACAGTTGGGAACTACAGAGCTGCATCTGTTTTTTTTTTTTTTTAAAGTTCATCAAGCAGCGGTTCCTCTCCAACAGCTGCTCAGGATCTCGACTACAGGGTATTTTTTTTTTTTTTGAAAAGATTTACTTATTTATTATGTATACAACGTTTTGCCTCCATGTATGCCTGCAAGCCAGGAGAGGGCACCAAATCTCATTATAGATGGCTGCAAGCCATCACGTGGTGATTGGAAATTGAACTCAGAAGCTCTGGAAGAACAGTCAGTTGTCTTAACCTCTGAGCCATCTGTCCAGCCCTAAAATTTGTAGCCCAGGCTGGTCTCGAATTTGTCATTTTCCTGCCTACACCTCCTTCATCAAATCCTACTGGCGAGCGCCACCACAACGGGCGAGCTGCAGCTTTTCACTGCACTCTTTCTCTAAGGGAGCTGCCCCTGTCACTCAGGCATCACTATCCAATCACGGCCTCCAGATGGACCCAGTCAGAATGTGGGCGGGTACTTCCGTTCCCCCTTGGCGAAGGCTCCCGCAGCTCCGCGACTGAGGGGAGACTCTCGTGTTCCGTGTCCTGCGCTGTGACCCGCTGCCGGGAGCTGTGAGGAGAGCCCGACGAGCTGGGAATCCGCCATGGTGAGCGAGGGGCCGCCGTCCCCATGCGGGGAGGAGCCTTGGGAACAGGTGTGGGGTCCTCCTAGGGCTGTGGGAAACAGCCGCCCAACACAGTGAGGTCACATAAGGGCCATGCCACTTCCGGGAGCTGGGCGGGAACCAGGGGACCACCTAATTACGTGGCGCCCCCCGGTGCGCCTGGGCAGAGCGTGGGAGGCGGGAAACCTTGTAACCTTGTGTGGAAACATCCTTGTTGTCAACGTTATGGTGCAGGGCGCGTGTATGCGCTGTTTTTACTGTCTCCAGGGAAGGCAGTCTTTTTTTGAGACAGCATTTCTCTTTATAGACCAGGCTGGCCTCAGAATCACAGAGATCCTCCTGCTTCTGCCTCCCAAGTTCTGGGTTTAAAGGTGTGTGCCGCCACCACCTCGCAGTTCAGTAAGTCGTTATTGCAGTTGCATTCAAAGGTTAAAGTCAGATGGTCACTGTGGGAACTATTTATTCAGCCATGTGTTGGTCATTTTTTCATTCATGATAAACTTTTCTCATCCAATTTGTTCTTAGCATAAATTGTTAGAATTTAATTGGACTTTTGCCAGATCTATGGCTCAAATTCTGTATTGTAATATAATATTCACATAATAGCCAAGATGACAGCAAACCACTTGGTTGCTTTCTACTCAAGGTTAGTCCTGCCCCCTGCTAAGGAAGCCCCTCCTCCATCAGGCACAGTTCCAGTGGAATCCCCACCTCTCCATGGTTAAATGTGCACTGTTACATCCTTTCCTTAAAAAGACTCTTTAATTAGGTTTGCGTTTATGTAGGAGGAGATGGCCCCTGTGTCCTAGGCAGGTAGGCCCCATGCAAGTAGGGAACAGAGGAAAGAATCCATGACCCCAACCAGAGACAGTTGAGTCCATCCATGTGTTTCCCCAACTGACTGTAACAGTTGAAGCCAATTGTTGTCATCCAGGTCTTTCACTCTCTCCTCCGTCCCCAAACACAAGATGTTGCTTGGCCCCATTTTCTCCCAATTGAGCCTTCTCTGAGCTGTGATCACACAGATTTGTGACTCTCCATGTTTGCTGGACTGAAGACTTTTGAATTTAATTTGTTAAAATAATTAAATCAGTGGTAGTGTTGCATGCTTTTAATCCTAGTACTTGGGAGGCAGAGGCTGGCAGATCTAAGAGTTTGAGGCCAGCCTGGTCTATAACGCGAGTTCCAGGGCATCTAGGACTATCAGTTTGTTCTCTCTCTCTCTCTCTCTCTCTCTCTCTCTCTCTCTCTCTCTCTCTCTCTTTCACACACACACACACACACACACACACACACACACACACACACACAAAAAAAAAAAACCCAAGAAAAACCAAAAAAACCCCAAAACACAAAACAACCCAAACAGACAAAACAGTTAAATAAATTTAAAACCTTTGTGCCTTGTGTGGCAGGCACTTCTCTCCAGTTAGAAATGCAGCTTCATGGCATCATCTACAGCAGTCACACTTCAGCACACCAGGTTTACAGATCACTGCTTGAAAAGAGACAAAAATTATGGAAGAGAAAGTAGTGGAACTTTCTCTTTTTCTTAGGGCTCAGCCCTGGAGAACTTTTCCCTTTCCCTGGAACTGCTTAGAGCAGGCATGAAGTGGAGGAAATGCTCATCTGAGGAACTATTTCCCCTGACCTGTGTGCATTCTGCTTAGATGGCCGTGGGTGTTGGGGCCTGGACTAGTGGCCTGGCTGCATTTGTTAGAACTCCGGAAGGAAGTGTATCCTGACTTGTTGGGAAGTCAGGCTATACCTGCAAGTGTTACATCCGTGGAGGGAAGGGTATCCTGACATGTCAGGAAGTCAGGCTGTATCTACAGTTGTGAAGGGAAGGCATCTTGGATACCTACAGCTGTGAGGAGAAAGGTATCCTGACTTGTCTGGAAGTCAGGCATAGTCAAAACTGGCTTCTGGTGGGTTATGGCCTCCCCTCAGGATATGGCACTCTACAGTTGAGCTCTGCTCTGCTGAGCTAAAGGAGTTTCCCAGCAGAGGTAATGCGTTTCTTCTTAGCTCCTGCCCAAGTTGTTGCTTCTTCTGCTTCACTCTGCTAAAGGGGAAATCCCTGCAGAAATGTAGCAATCTGCTCTGGCTCCTGGGAAAAGTTGTCACTTTTCTCCACTCCCATTGGAGTTTCCCAGCAGAGGTATCTGTTTCTTCTTCTGCTCTGCCCCCTAAGGGAGCTTCCCAGCAGAGACTCTGCTCTGTGCTGGTGAAAGATCTTCACCCAAAACACTTTCAAGAAAGAGCTGTATTGGGACTGAGGTGTCCAGGAGAGTGGCTGCCTCTGCTAGTGTGGAGAAGGACAGCTGATACCTGAACAGGCACAGGGGATTATGTAGGGTTTCTTAGGGGTGGAGTTTTTCCAGAGAAGATTTTCAGGGAGGGAATTGGTCAGATTTTGATCCCCTTGAGCCTGGACAAGCTCAGATTGGCTAGATTTTGTGCTCAGGATTGGTTGGTTTTGTGTTCAGTTGGTCAGGGTCATATTTGGCTCTGGTTTCAAAGCCAACATGTGTGTGTCTTTCACTGGCCCTTTGTAGCCTTTGGCTCTAGTCAAGACCAGGGTGTATTTCTATTACTACCTTGGGTTCCAAAGCAAAAATGTGTTTCTTTGGCTCTAGTTTCAGGGTCAGGGTATATTTGTTTGGTTCTGGGTTCAGGGCCAAAGTGTTTCTTTCACTGGCTCTGAGTTCAGGGTCAAGGTGGGTTTCTATCACTGTCTCTGGTTTCATCCAGGGTGGGTTTCTATTACTGTCTCTGGTTTCAGATCTAGGGTGAGTTTCTATCACTGTCTCTGGTTTCAGGACCAAGGTGGGTTTCTTTTGCTGGTCCTTTTACCTTACAGTAGCCCTTCCCATTTCCTCACAGGGACCAACACTGAATGTGAGCAGGAATCAAGCACAATACAAGCTAGTGCTTCTGCTCCTGGAGTGGGAGAGGTGGCGACGATTTTTTCACCTCTGGGTAACCTGGCAGAGCCAAAAGGATTCGGGTCCCCAACAGGAGAAAGCACATGTCTCCACCTGGGTGGAGGAGAGTTTCACACCAGAGAAAACCCCTGGTCAATACAGGGAAGCAAACCTGATAGAAACACATAGAAACACATGTAGAGACATATACACAGAGAGACAGACATGCAATAAAAACAACCAGGGTGGCTATCACATATTCATACACCTAAACAGACAGAGCTATCCAGTGATGAATGACATGGTTCCCAGACACTGAATCAGAATCTACATCTGACCTCTGCTATATGTCTAAACAGAAGGCACTTCAACAAGACTTACCTCCAGAAGTGACAGAACAGGTGACTTTCTAATTTGTTTCCTTGGGATTGTAGGTGTCAGATCCCTCTAGGCACTAGGCAGTAAATGTCAAAGGTAGCCCTGGTGGGGTTTAAATAGGAATGGCCCCATAGACTCATGTCTGAAGCTTGGCCTATGGGAAGGGGCACTATTAGGAGTTGTGGTCTTGTTGGAATATATGTGGCCTTGTTGGAGGAAGTGAGTACTGTGGCTGTGGTCTTTGGGGTCTCAAATGCTCAAGCTAGACCAAGTGTGCCTCAGTCTCCTTCTGCTGCCTGTTGATCAAGATATAGAACTCGCAGCTTCTTGTCTAGCCCGACATCTCCCTGCTGGCTGCCATGCTTCTTCCCATGATGATCATGGACTAAAACATTATCATTAGATGTTTGGTGTTTGCCCTGCATGGTTTCAGACTTGCCTTGGTCCAATCTTTCCTTAATTCCTTGAAAGGGAAATGTATATTATGTGCCGTTGTGTTTGGGTTGATATGATTCATGATTTGTTATTTATTACATGAGGTCATAGTCAAGAGACCTCCTTGCATGTCAGAAGAAACTGTGGACATTCAAACAGTATTGGGACTATTACATAACATGTGAATCTATGAAATCAGACTAAATGCATTTTGCATCATGGTTTGACTGTTAGCCTGACATGACCTGTGTCAAAATGTTGTGGGTTGAATGAAAAACCTTCCAGGTAGTGTGCTGAGTGTGAGCACATTCCTTTGTTTTTTTGAAAGTGAGCAGCCCCCTCCCTTCTCAAGTAGGCATGCCATCACCAACAATAGAGACTCCATTCTTAAATAATGTAAGGTAAAGTAGAAGTAATTGCTTTTCCTTGTCAATCCATATTTCTTGCCTGATTTTTTTTTTTTTTTTTTTTTTGGTTTTTTCGAGACAGGGTTTCTCTGTGTAGCTTTGCGCCTTTCCTGGGACTCACTTGGTAGCCCAGGCTGGCCTCGAACTCACAGAGATCCGCCTGGCTCTGCCTCCCGAGTGCTGGGATTAAAGGCGTGCGCCACCACCGCCCGGCCTTGCCTGATATTTTTATGTTTATATTTTTGGCAGATTGAATCAGGTTTTTGTACATGTCAGGCATTTGCTCTTGTGCTGAACTTTACCCATGTCATGACTTTTGAACTTTGGCATTGGTGTCATTTTTCAGAGCAAAAATGCATTCATTCATGAAATTAATAGTGATCTCCTGAATCACTAAATTGTCGATGTGTAATATTGTCTCTACCTTTGTGTATGTTTTTACACTTTTACATTATTTTCAAATGTGTTATCTTATCTGTTGACCCATCTGTCTATACTCCCTCCCTTTTGGTGTTTGTTTTACTGTTTTAGGATCAGCATTTACTTTACTAATGTTCTTGAAAACTCATTGATCTGTCAGACAGCAACTGAATAAAAATGCTTTCCTTCCTGGGAATTATTAGCCTTACAGTTCAATAAGGGTCACTCCAGCTTATGATAGACAAGAGCAGAACTGGCGGGAATGTTTAACTCTGTGGAGGAATTTTGAGTGAGGCTTGAGTGCTTTCTGTTTTTTAGTTTGAGACAGGGTCTCGCTATGAACCTTTGGCTGTCCTGGCAATCTCTACATAAACAGGCAGGCTTGAAAATCTCAGGGTTTCACCTGTCTCTGCCTACCGAGGTTTGGGATTAGAGACGTGCACCACCACACCCTTATTGTCCATCCTTTCTTGAAGTTAATAACTTTGGTAAAATTCTGCTGATGTATACTAAATAGTGTTGCTCTGTTTGCATGTCTCTCTGTATATATTCCTAGGCATTTCTCCTGCTGTGCCATATTCTATTCTTTAGGCACTGAAATGGAAGGTGTCATTCTCTTTTGATGTTTCCTTTTATTTTTTTATTTTTTTGGTTTTTTGAGACAGGGTTTCTATGTGTAGCTTTGTGCCTTTCCTGGAACTCGCTTTGTAGACCAGGCTGGCCTCGAACTCACAGAGATCCACCTGGCTCTGCCTCCCGAGTGCTGGGATTAAAGGCGTGCGCCACCACCGCCCTGCGATGTTTCCTTTTAAAATGAGTTGGTGACTGCATTTGATATTTACTGACCCATGTCATAGAATGTATCAAGCACACAGAATTATGTAAATATATTCTCAATGAAGTCTATATGTACAATGCAGTCAGTCTCACCATTTCTATTATGTACATATGTGGGATACTTTAGGATGCAGTGACCTATGAGGATGTGCATGTGAACTTCACTCATGAAGAGTGGGCTTTGCTGGATCCTTCCCAGAAGAGTCTCTACAAAGATGTGATGCTGGACACCTACTGGAACCTCACTTCTATAGGTAAGAATGTGAGCTTTCTGTCACTTTTTAGCTTAAGGGGACAAGCTTTTTTCTTTGGATTGGTGCTCTTCTGTGATTTTGCATATGAAAGGGGGAGAATCTGGTGAATAAATCAGTCATGGTTGTAAGTTTCATGAAAGATAGTAATTTCAAGTGTGCCTAATTTCCAGTAATATATCACATACATTTTCTGGTACTGTATTTTAGGTTACAAATGGGAAGACCATAATATTGAAGAACATTGTCAGAGCTGTAGAAGAAATGGAAGGTAATTTTCATGTGCAAGCTTGTATGTGTGTGATAAGTATCAGATCCCCAGTTGCTGGCTTCCTCCATCACTGATGCAGTATGTCAAATTAGACCAAATTAATAAATTCAGATTTAATAAACAAGGCATAGCAAATCAGCACACTTTCAGGGGCTCTCAGGAAGTCAGGAGACAGAATAGGAGAGCACCCATGGCACATCTATGGGCCGGGTCTTAAATAGCCAGTAGGCATGGGTATGGTCCCAGGCATCTCGGGGAGGAGGAGCCGCCAGTAGTGGGCTTTGTGGAATGGGAACCCCTGAGTGGGAGATTCCAAACTCCCAACCTTTTAGGGTCTATATGGGTGCAGGTTCAAGTCTGTCTGTTTCCTGCTGGCATGGGATGATATGGGGAAGGAGGATTGGGATTGGGGTGGGCCCATGCTCAGCAGGGGTTATGGGTGGAGCAGCATTTGGATAGCTGCCATCCAGGAGACCTCAGGAACCTGTTCTTTTTTTTTTTTTGGTTTTTTGAGACATGGTTTCCTCTGTGTAGCTTTGGTACCTTTCCGGGAACTTACTCTGTTGCCAGGCTAGTGTTGAATTCACAGAGGTCTGCCTGCCTCTGCCTCCTGAGTGCTGGGATTAAAGGTGTGTGCCACCACCTCCAGGCACAGGAATCTGTTCTTGAGGAGACAGAATGCAAGGTGCTAGGAGAAAAAAATAGATTATTATCACTGGCCCTCTGAATGGGGCTACCCATTGGTAGTAGGAAGACTGCCAGAAAGAATGGAAACTGAGAAGTGTCCTGGTTGTACAAAAGAGTCAAGGGTGAATGAGTGAGGCATGAGGGCAGATATGCCCATAATTGGGACGTCTTGGAAATCTAGGTTTCAGTTGCTGGTTAGTTGCCCACTTGTGCCTAGAGAGGTGATATCAGCAGTGAAGTGCCAGGAGCTTGGGGAGATGGCATGGCAAATCTAGGGATGATGTGTTCCAGGAGTTCTGGAGCCATAGCATTTGCTGTTTCCCTGGAGGTTTGGAGAGCATCCATCCTGTGAATGTGTCATAAGAGTTAAGAGATATGGAGCTTTTTATGAGTGGGCAGTTGGGTGAAATCAACCTGTTATTATTCCCCCAGTTGGTGCCCTTGCTTGGTTTGCATTCAGAGCTGTTGCAGGGGCTGGTGTATGTGGAGGGCCCCTGAGGGTTTGGCTTTGGCCCAGGCAGGAAGAGTGAACCTACAGAATATGCTCAAAAATAGGCTCTGCAAAGTAATATTAGTTTCCATCAGGCCAGACTTCTTTACAAAGTAGCCCAGCCCTTTTCCCAGGAACCCTCAGGTGTCTGTAAAACTACTGGAACAGATTTATATCTTGGTGTCATGGTAAAAAGCTGTGGCCTTGGGTTAAGGCATGAACATTTTTAAGTCTAAATTCACTGAACAAAGGAGATTGGGTGAGTGAAGGAGGAGGGAGTTGAACATGCCTGCAGGGTTCTGTATCCTCTCTAATGCTAACCTAGCTCTAAAAGCTGGACCAGTAAAATCCACCAAAATTTAAGAACCCCTGTAGACTGTTTATAATCAGTGCTTTATCAGTTTATCAAAATTGCATTTATCAAAGCTAAAACTTTGAACCTCTGAAATTATATCCAAAACCAGTTTATCCTGTACCATGCAGTCTGTGAATGAGGCACACTTGTATGTATTTTTAATAGGAAACTTACTAATGAGATACTAAGGTGCTTGTAGCCTTGGGATTGGGGGTTCTGTTAAACTGACAAATCTACTAGTACCCTGGTCATCAAACACAATCAGATCTGAGAAGGATAAGTAAATGAGCAGGAATGAGCCAGCTTTCCAGTTACCCAGGCTGTTCCAAGTCTCTCTGTGGTCACTGGGGGACAAGTCCCAGAGGTAGCACTTGTTCAGATGCCAAACCCAGAGGATCTGACAGATTCTCTGTGGAGTAGAAATTTGGGGAGATTGGCCTACCTGTCTTGGCAGAGTGGGACAATTGTTCCCCCATTGCTCAACTTATTCATAGTCTGGACATGATCTCAGCAGCACTTAAAGGTGTAAAGCAGCTTTTTGCTGTGTGGCTGGCTTTGTTACATTTGAGGCAAGTCTCCCGGTGGAAGTTCTTCTGTGGCCATCCATCTTTTTGGAGAAGATACAAGATGCTTCCAGGAGTTGGCATGTCTCTCATAAAAAGCTTTTATATTAAATGCCATATTCTCAGATCTCTAAGGATGTTTGAGAATGTTAAGTATATCTAAATTAGACAAATGTTCAGGCTTAAATTTGAAGGCATATATAAGTTAAGTCTGGACATACAGTTTACCCAATTAGTTACAGCTTACCAATGTTAGTAAAAGCAAGAAGATTCAGTCTGTAGTTTTTAGTGGTGATCCTAAGATATATAGGACAAAACTAAGTTTTAATGTTGAAAACAATTTAGTTTCAATATCAATTGTCAAAATCAGCATTGTTTTAAATCCTACTTTCATAAAACTTCTTTTTAGGCCAGGACAGGTGGTGGTGGCGGTGGTGGTAGAGCTCTGGTCGGAGGGACGAAAGGAGGAGGGACCAAACAGAACAAACTGGCTGGAGACATTTATGTAGTAGTTCAGGGTGTTAGAGCAGACAGGAACAGAGAGAACAGACAGGAACAGTACAGGAATTATCAAACAGAAATGTATCCTAACCACAGGAATTATCAAACAGAAATATATCTTAACCCAATTCTATTGGAGACCTAATGTCTCCTTGGTGGGCCCAGTCCAAGTGGTTACCCTTTCTAAAGATGGTAGTGAAGTATCTTTAACCTCAATCAAAATGGCGGCCGGCTATATGGTCACCCTTCCTAAAGATGGCTGTGAAGTCATTCACCTCTCTCTCTGACCTTAGCCATAATGGCACCTGCCCAGGTGGCTGACTGCCTGTAATTAGAGTAGTGGCAGACCATGTGATGTTCTCCAGCACAGTTTCAATCTGGAGTCACAAGCCTTATAGGTTTCAAAACATCCAATTAGCAAGACACATTCAGGACACAAAAACTCAGGCATTCAAAACCTGTCAGAAATACACATGTGTGGCCACAGCATTCACACATTTCCACCAACACCTTTAAGGACAAGACAAGCAAACAATGCCACAATAGATGTCACAGTTTCAATCATAGCCATGTAAGAGGCATGTTGTAGGACTATCCATCCACTTACTGTCATGCCTTCCATTTATCATATAAGGTATACACATTGATGAGGAGATAGGGTTTGTCCAAGACCTTTTATAAGTAAAGCTTCCATATTAAAGCCAGTGTTCCTCATTTTCTTGTCGTGAGTGATTTAGCATAGTTTAATGAGAGGAGCACTTTATGAGTGACTTGGAGATGTATAAACATGGATCTCTGTTCTACATCTGTATCACACACAAAACATTTGATTATGTGAATGCAATGTGGAAACCTTTATTTGTTATCTTCTTTACCAGGGATGTCATGTGTCACTCTGGATACAATCCACGTGAGCATAAGGGGCATGGAAAGAAGCATTGCACTTCTGTCTGTCTCAGAACTGGAAGATATGTGGTAGTCCCCACTATGAGAAGACATGATGACTGTGATACAAGTTTACAATTAACTGGTTTTCCAACTTCAGTGGGAATTCATCAACAAACTCTCATTGGAGAAAATGAGTACCAGGAATATGGAAATTTATCTCTCTCTTCTGGTTCATTGTGCACATGTAGTGTGGCTCACAGTATAAGAAAATGTTATAGATGTAATCAGTGTGGTCCAACTCTGAGTTCTTCAAGTTCTCTTCAAGGATGTGAAAAAACTCACATGTTAAGAGAAAATAATAAATGTGAGTCATCTACTGAAGGTTTTAGCTATTACAGGCATCTTCAAACACACCAAACACCCAATAATGAAGAGAATCTCTATGAATATAATCAATGCGATAAAGCCTTTAGATGTGATTGCTCTTTAAAATACCAAAGAACTCATTTTAAAGGAAAACTCTGTGAGTATAATCAAAGATATAAAAGCTTTGCATATCACAGTCTTCATCAAGTACATAGAATTCAAACTAGGGAGAAAAGGTATGAATCTCAGCAATGTGATAAAGCCTTTGCATGTCCCATAATACATAATAGAAGTTACACTGGGGAGAAACCCTATAAATGTAATCAGTGTGGTAAAACCTTTGCAGAGAAGGGAAGCCTTCACAGTCATGAAAGATTTCATACTGGAGAGAAACCCTATAAATGTTTTGAATGTGGTAAAGCCTTTAGAGGGAAGAATAGTCTTCTCAGTCATGAAAGAATTCATACTGGAGAGAAACCCTATGAATGTCATGAATGTGGTAAAACCTTTGCACAGAAGAGTTATCTTCTTAGTCATGAAAGAATTCATACTGGAGAGAAACCTTATGCATGTAATCAATGTGGTAAAGCATTTGTACAGAAGAGTGATCTTCACAGACATGAAAGAATTCATACTGGAGAGAAACCCTATGAATGTAATCAATGTGGTCAAGCCTTTGTACAGAAGAATGTTCTCCACAGACATGAAAGAATTCATACTGGAGAGAAACCCTATGAATGTAATCAATGTGGTAAAGCCTTTGCAGAGAAGAGAAGTCTTCACAGTCATGAAAGATTTCACACTGGAGAGAAACCTTATAAATGTAATCGATGTGGTAAAGCCTTTAGAGTGAAGAATAGTCTTCTCAGTCATGAAAGAATTCATACTGGAGAGAAACCCTATGAATGTAATCAATGTGGTAAAGCCTTTGCACAGGAGAGTTATCTTCTCAGTCATGAAAGAATTCATACTGGAGAGAAACCTTATGCATGTAATCAATGTGGTAAAGCATTTGCAAAGATGCGTGATCTTCACAGACATGAATTAACTCATACTGGGGAGAAACCCTATGAATGTAATGAATGTGGCAAACCCTTTGCACAGAAGAGTCATCTTCTGAGTCACAAAAGAATTCATACTGGAGAGAAACCCTATGAATGTAATCAATGTGGTAAAGCATTTGCACTGAAGAGTCATCTTCTCAGTCATGAAAGAATTCATACTGGAGAGAAACCCTATAAATGTAATCAATGTGGTAAAGCATTTGCACAGAAGAGTCATCTTCTCAGTCATGAAAGAATTCATACTGGAGAGAAACCCTATGAATGTAATCAGTGTGGTAAAGCCTTTGCAGAGAAGAGTCATCTTCTCTGTCATGAAAGAATTCATAATGGAGAGAAACCCTATGAATGTAATCAATGTGGTAAAGCCTTTGCACGGAAGAGTCATCTTCATAGACATGAAAGTCTTCATAGAGAGAAACCCTATGATTGTAATCAGTGTGGTAAAGCATTTGCATGTAACAGTCATCTTCTCAGTCACTTAAAAAGTCATACTGGAGAGAAACCCTATGAATGTAATCAATGTGGTAAAGCATTTGCACAGATACATGATCTTCACAGACATGAATTAATTCATACTGGAGAGAAACCCTATGAATGTAATTAGTGTGGTAAAGCCTTTACAGAGAAGAGAAGTCTTCACAGACATGAAATAATTCATACGGGAGAGAAATCCTTTGAATGTAATCAACGTGGTCAAGCCTTTGCAGAGAAGAGTGTTCTTCACAGACATGAAATAATTCATACTGGAAAGAAACCCTATGAATGTAATCAATGTGGTAAAGCCTTTGCACAGAAGAGTCATCTTCTCAGTCATGAAAGAATTCATACTGGAGAGAAACCCTATGAATATAATGAATTTGGTAAAGCCTTTACAGAGAAGAGAAGTCTTCACAGTCATGAAAGAATTCATACTTGGAAAGAAACTCTGTGAATGTAATGATTGTGGTAATACCTTTGCACACAAGAGTCATCTTTACAGTCATGAAAAAATTCATACTGGACAGTACCATATGGATGTAATCACGTGGTAATTTCAGATGTGATCTGCCATGTGGGTGCTGGAAAATGAATTGTGTTTTCTACAAGAGGTACTTGCTGGAGTCCAGCTCCATAGGAATTCAGGTCCCTTAGGAGGAGATGGGGCATTAGCAAAGGAAGGAGACTGCCACGATCTTAGCGTGAATCAGCATGGCTGCTGCTTTATTGAAAAAGGACTATACCCTTTATACTGTATAACTGAATCTCAGTTTAGATTAAAGCAAGGTTAAAAACAGACTTGATGATTCCAGGCTAAAAGCAGCTATCAACCTCATCACATAATTTTTCCTGAGTCAAAAGTGATAAATTCAGCAAGTATCTAAATGCCTTTGTGGATGTGAGCCCATTGTTTCCTTCCAGTGTGCTTTCATCCTTGGAACTAGGTATGCTCAGTTAGTAAATCATTAAGTTCTCTATTCTTGGTGTAATCAGGGGGATACAATGGGGATTCTTGTGTGAGAGTAGGCATAGTCATTATGCTATGTGGTTCCATTGTGGTGGGGATTTTTTCCAAGAATTTTGATTAAATAGACTGCTTATGTATACATTCTCATCTCCCATTGTAGCTCACAAAAAAATTTCCCACAGTGATAGCGATAAGGAGACTTCATCACATATAGTGAGAATTATTAAAATTGAAATAAAAAATGCCGGAGAATTAAGATCTGCAAAGTAAAAATGCTGGAACTTTATCAAATAGCAATGGTCACTGTGCAGTCCACACTAGGTACTAAACGCTAAACCATCTCTCATCCCTTTTTCCTTTATTTATTTATTTATTTATTTATTTATTTATTTATATTTTATTATTTATTTTTAAAATTAATTAATTTTTCTATTGTCAGCTTGATACAGTATAAATTGTTATCTTAATAGTGAAATGTTTCAGTGAGGCTTGCTCAGTAATTGAGTAAAACCAAAACTTATTATAAGCCATAGTCATCCTAGGGTCCACCATGCTATATATATAGCCTCCATGGTTCTGTGAGTTGCAGTCTGATTGTTCTTTACTTTATATCTAGTATCCACTTATGAGTGAGTACATACCATGTTTGTCCTTCTGGGTTTGGGTTAACTCACTCGGGATGATTGTTTTCTAGTTCCATCCATTTGCCTGCAAATTTCATGCTGTCATTGTTTTTCTCTGCTGAGTAGTACCCCATTTTGTATATGCACCACATGTTCTTAATCCATTCTTCAGTTGACGGGCATCTAGGTTGTTTCCAGGTTCTGGCCATTACAAATAGTGCTGTTCTGAACATAGGTGAGCATGTATCTTTGTGGTATGATTGAGCATTCCTGGGATATGTGCCCAAGAGTGGTATGGCTGGGTCTTGAGGTAGTTCAATTCCTAATTTTCTGAGAAAACACCATACTGATTTCCAGAGTGGTTGTACAAGTTTGCATTCCCACCAACAGTGGAGAAGTGTTCCCTTTGCTCTACATCCTCTCCAACATAGACTGTCATTAGTGTTTTTGATCATAGCTATTCTGACAGGTGTAAGGTGGTATCTCAGAGTCGTTTTGATTTGCATTTTTCTGATGATTAAGGATGTTGAGCATTTCTTTAAATGTCTTTCACCCATTTGTGATTCTTGTTTTGTGAATTCTCTGTTTAGCTCTTTAGCCCATTTTTTAATTGGATTGTTCAGTATTTTGATGTCTAGTTCCTTGAGTTCTTTATATACTGTGGAGATCAGTCCTCCATCAGATGTGGGGTTCGTGAAGATCTTTTCCCATTCTGTAGGCTGTCTTTTTGTCTTATTGACCATGTCTTTTGCCTTGCAGAAGCTTCTCAGTTTCAATAGGTCCCATTTATTAATTGTTGTGCTCAGTGTCTGTGCTGTTGGTGTTATGTTTAGGAAGTGGTCTCCGATGCCAATGCTTTCAAGAGTACTTCCTACTTTCTTTTCTATTAAGTTTAGTGTAACTGGATTTATGTTGAGGTATTTGATCCACTTGGACTTGAATTTTGTGTGTGGTGACAGATACGGATCTATTTGTAATCTTTTACATATTGACATCCAGTTATGCCAGCACCATTTGTTGAAGATACTTTCTTTTTTCCATTGTATAGTTTTGGCTTCTTTATCAAAAATCAGGTGTTCATATGTGCATGGATTAATGTCAGGGTCTTCAGTTCTATTCCATTGGTCCGTATGTTGGTTTTTATATCAGTACCAAGCTGTTTTTATTACTATAGCTCTATAGTAGAGCTTGAGGTCAGGGATGGTGATGCCTCCAGAGGTTGCTTTATCATACAGGATTCTTTTAGCTATCCTGGGTTTTTTGTTTTTCCATATGAAGTTGAGTATTTTTCTTTCCAAGTCTGTGAAGAATTGTGTTGGGATTTTGATGGGGATTGCATTGGATCTGTAGATTGCTTTTGGTAAGATTGCCATATTTACTATGTTAATCCTAACTATCCATGAGCATGGGAGATCCTTCCATTTTCTGATGTCTTCTTCAATTTCTTTCTCTACAGATTTAAAGTTCTTATCAAAAAGTTCCTTCACTTGTTTAGTTAGTGTTATCCCACGGTATTTTATTTTATTTGTGGCTATTATAAAGGGTGATGTTTCTCTGACTTCTTTCTCAGCCCTTTTATCATTTGTATATAGGAGGGCTACTGATTTTTTTGAGTTGATCTTGTATCCTGTCACTTTACTGAAGGAGTTTATCAGCTGTAGAAGTTCCCTGGTAGAATTTTTGGGGTCACTTATGTATACTATCTTATCATCTGCAAATAGTGAAAGTTTGACGTCTTCCTTTCCAATTTGTATCCCTTTGATCTCCTTTTGTTGTCTTATTGCTTTAGCTAGAACTTCAAGTACTATATCAAATAAATATGGGGAGAGTGGATAGCCTTGTCTTGTTCCTGATTTTAGTGGAATCACTTTGAGTTTCTCTCCATTTAATTTGATGTTGACTGTTGGCTTGCTGTAAATTGCCTTTATTATGTTTAGGTATGTTCCTTGTATTCCTGATCTCTCTAGGACCTTTATCATGAAGGGGTGTTGGATTTTGTCAAAGGCTTTTTCAGCATCTAATGAGATGATCATATGGTTTTTTTCTTTCAGTTTGTTTATATGGTATATTACACTGACAGATTTTCATATGTTGAACCATCCTTGCATCACTGGGATGAAACCTACTTGGTCACGATGGATAATTTTTTGATGTATTCTTGGATTCGGTTTGCCAATATTTTGTTGAGTATTTTACATCAATGTTCATGAGGGAGATTGATTTGTAATTCTCTATCTTTGTTGCCTCTTTGTGTTTTGGGTATCAGGGTAATTGTAGCCTCACAAAAAGAGTTTGGTAGTGTTCCTTCTGTTTCTATTGTGTGGAACAATTTGAAGAGTATTGGAATTAGTTCTTCTTTGAAAATCTGATAGAATTCTGCACTGAGGCCATCTGGTCCTGGGCTTTTTTTGGTTGGGAGACTTTTAATGACTGTTTCTATTTCTTTAGGGGTTATTGGTCTATTTAAATGGTTTATCTGGTATTGATTTAATTTTGGTATGTGGTATCTATCCAGAATATTGTCCATTTCTTTTAGATTTTCCATTTTTGTGGGGTACAGGTTTTTGAAGTATGACCTGATGATTCTCTGGATTTCCTCATTGTCTGTTGTTATGTCTCCCTTTTCATTTCTGATTTTGTTAATTTGGGTGCTTTCTCTTTGCCTTTTGGTTAATTTGGCTAGGGCTTTGTCTATCTTGTTGATTTTTTTCAAAGAACCAACTCTTTGTTTCATTGATTTTTTTTTTGTATTGTTCTCTTGGCTTCTGTTTCGTTGATTTCAGCCCTCAATATGATTATTTCCTGTTGTCTATTTCTCCTGGGTGAGTTTGTTTCTTTTTTTTCTAGAGTTTTCAGTTGTGCTGTTAATTCATTGATATGGGATTTCTCCATCTTCTTTATGTGTGCATTTAGAGCCATGAATTTTCCTCTTAGCACTGTTTTCATAGTGTCCCATAAGTTTGGGTATGTTGTACTTTCATTTTCATTGAATTCTAGGAAATCTTTAATTTCTTTCTTTATTTCTTCCTTTACCCATTGATGTTTCAGGTGGGCATTATTCAGTTTCCATGTGATTGTAGCCTTTCTATAATTTTTGTTGTTGTTTAAGTCTAACTTTAAGGCATGGTAGTCCGATAAGATACAGGAGGTTATTCCAATTTTTTTGTATCTGTTGAGATTTGTTTTGTGACCAGGCATGTGGCCAATTTTTGAGAAGGTTCCATGGGGTGCTGAGGAGACGTTATATTCTTTTGTGTTAGGATGGAATGTTCTGTAGATATCTATTAAGTCCATTTGAATCATAACATCTGTTAGGTCCTTTATTTCTTGGTTAAGTTTTAGTGTGGTAGATCTGTATTTTGGTGAGAATGGTGTGTTGAAATCTCCCACTACTAATGTGTGGGGTTTGATAATTAAATTTCTGGCTTGAAAATGCCAATGCAGCATGCAAAAGGGTAATTAGGCTGTTAAAGCCATGATCAGCACCCTTTGAGTAGTGGATTAGAGATACAATTAATATTGAATCTCATGATGATGATACTTGGATAGGAGAGGTGTTTTCCAGAGGACTGAAGAAAAATGTCAGATGCTTTAATTATGGTAAGCAAGGTCACCTAAAAAGGGACTGTAAACAGGGCATTCCTAGAAACAATATTTCTTCAAGGAACAATGGCAGCAGAACGCTCCTCTTTTCTGGATTATGCAGAAGGTGTGGTAAAGGCAAACAGCAGACTAATGAATGTAGATCAACAAGGGACAGACAAGGTCATCCTTTGCCTTTGCCATTGGGAAACTCCCTGATGGGCCTCTTGATGGGTCTCTCGCAGGCCCACATGGCAAATTCTGTTCAGTCTTTTCTTGCCATTGTAGAAGAAAATCCCTCCCAGAGCAATTCAATATCCAAATGCTTATTGTAATAAACCATAGTGCTTGGGGTGATAGAACAGCTATAGCAGAGAGAACAAAAAATTCAGGAAAAACCATAAAGTGAATTTTTTGTCAAACTTCTATAAATGAACAAAGACCAAAAATTGAAAATATGAATAAATGATGTTCTTATTGAGGGTCTTGTAGACACAGTTGTGGATGTAACAATAATTGCACCAGAATCTTGGTATCCAGATTGGCCTCTTCAGGAGGTAAATGTTCAGCTGTTAGGGACTGGAACATTATCTCAAGTGAAACAGAGCATGAAATGGGCCAAATGTATAGGGCCAGAAGGACAGACAGGAAAATTAAAGGCATATGTGGCTATGAATTTATAGGGCTGTGATTTATTACAGCAGGAATACCCAGATAAACATTCCTCCAATCTCAGAAACAAACCACAAACTAGCACATGTTTCTGAGAAAAATATTAGAAGATATTATAAAGAACAGTCACCAGCCATCCAGATTGTACTAGAACAGAGCACAACAGCTGCTGATCTTTTAAAGACACTATCAGCCCTGCCTTTAAAATGGTTAACAGACAAGTCTTATGGGTTCAGCAATTGCATTTAACAGCAGAGAAACTAGAGGCCTTAGAACAGCTGGTACAAGAGCAGTTAAATGCTCAACATATTGATGAATCAACCAGGCCTTGGAATTCTCCTGTATTTGTTATTAAAAAGAAATCTGGTGAGTGGAGAATGGTAACAGATCTAAGAGCAATTAACAAGGTAATTCATCCAATGGGCTCTCTACAATCTGGAATTCCTTTGCCTACTCTGTTACCTAAAGGATGGCCTGTTTTTTCCCCTGCCTTTGGATGCCGTCTTATAGTTACCAATTTAAAAGACTGTTTCTTCTTAATACCTTTACAAGAAAAGGATGATAAGATTTGCCTTCACAGTGCCTACTTATAATAATTCTCCGCTGGTTAAGAGATAACAATGGAAGGTTCTCCCACAGAGAATGTTAAATAGTCCAACCCTGTGCCAATATTTTTTATGACAGCCATTGAACGTAATACATAAACAACTTCTTGAATCTATAATATATCATTACATGGATGATGTTTTACTAGCTGATTCATTGCAGATACCTTAGAATGTTTTAAGAAGTAAAGAAAAACTTGCCTTGTTGGAGATTACAAATTGCTCCTGAAAAGATACAAAGAGGAGATTCTATTAATTATTTAGGATATAAAAATAGGTCTATAAAAATTAGATCCCCAAAAGGCCAAATTAAGAGAGATCTTTTAGGGACTCTTAATGACTTTCAAAAATTATTTGGAAACATTTCCTATCTATGAATTGCTGTTGGTGTAAAAAATGATGAACTGAGTAATTTGTTCAAAACCTTAGAGGGTGACAAGGACTTAAATAGTCCAAGAGAATTATCAGCTGAAGCTGAGAGAGAATTGGCTTTGGAGGAAAAGAAAATACAGGATGCACATGTGGATCGTGTGGATGCAAAGCTTGATTGCATTTGGCTATTTTACCCTCTAAGCATTTTCCTACAGGAATATTAATGCAGAGAGAAGATATTATATAGAATGGATATTTCTACCAAATAGTGTAAAAAAGTTAAAAACTTATGTGGAAAAGATCTTTGAGTTGATTTTAAAAGGATTTGTTAGGAATAGACCCAGCAGAAATTGTTGTACTTTTAACTAATGATGAAATTGACAAATTATAGGCAGAAAGTAAAGCTTGGCAAAGAGCTTGCAGTAATTTTTTGGGAGGGATTAACAACAAATATCTCAAAAAAATAGAATTCAAGTTATAAAAGGAGCTAACTGTATGCTGACTGCATTTACAGGAAACACCCATGTCTGGGGCTTGTACATCTTATACAGATGCAAACAAACAAGGAAAGGTTACAAATCAGAAAATTTAAGTTAAGTGGTTCAAAGTCCTTATAATTCTGTCCAAAAATTGGAGTTATATGCTACTCTGATGGTATTAATGGATTTTTTTTTAGAACCTCTCAACATAGTTACTGACTCCCAGTATGCTGACAGAGTGGTCTTACATATTGAGTCTGCAGAATTTATCTCTGATGAGTCAGAATTAACTGAGAAAGTTCCATGAGTGAGAAAGGTATGTGCACCTTAACCAGTCCATCCACTCCAGCCACCTCTCAGAAAGGGAGAATAGTTGCCAGGTTAGCATGGCTTGAGTTGGGTCCCTTAGCAGCTTGAGAGCAAGTGACAGGAAGAGTGAAGGTGCGATCTCACAGAGATCGGCCTTCCTCTGCCTCCCGAGTGCTGGGATTAAAGGCATGTGCCACCACTGCCCAGCTACTATTCCTTTCTTTCTTTCTTTTTTTATTTTAATTTTACATTTATTTAAATATTGTTTAGTTACCTTTCATATTGCTCAGGTTTATATATCTAATTAATTTGTTGCATGAATTTAGGTATCTTCTCACACACATATCATAAAGTCTTATCTAGTTTTATGCTTGACATTTCCAATTGCAGTTGTAAAATGTTCTGTGGAACTGAGTTATGAGACATTTTTCTATTACCAGCATAGAATAGTACCATTGAAGTCATAAAGCCCCTTTATGTGGTACACGCGTGTTGCTTTCCTCTTGAAAGTACAAATTATTGATTTGGTAGAGGACTGTGATGGCAAAATCACCACAGATCACTGTCACAGATGTGAGAGGTGATTGTTATACAGAGCAGGGAAATGGGTAAAGGCAAACTGCCAGGCCTTGTGTCAAATATCAAGCACAAAGTACTATTCTTTACAAGAAAGAGTCACAGTGTCTACTAACACTGACCCTTGAGGTTTGTTATGTGGTCTCTGCTGCACAGACACATGGTGGGAGCCCACAGGTTTGTTGATGGGACCAGTGAGGGACAAAGTCTGCAGTTCTGGTATCCTACCTCCAGACACTGCTAGTAAGAGGTCTATGGGAAAATCACCCATGGAAGCCATTTATTTCATCAGTATAGTTTGATAGTGAGTACAAGATCCAGACTTCTCACAAGGTTATTATAAAGCTCAAAAAAAGAGAAAAAAAATGCTATCCCTCCCCTTAGAGTGCAGAGAATCCTGTGGGAAAGGAGGCAGAAGGAGTCAGGGAGACAGGGGCATAGAGGACACCAGGAAAACAAGGCCCTATAAAACTGAGCATAGCTCATATGAACCCGCAGAGACTGAAGCAGCAATCACATGGCCTACAGAGGGCACCAAGTCCTCTGCATGTATACTATAGCTGTCAGTTTAGAACATTTATGAGACTCTTGAATGTGTAAATGAGTGTGTCTTTGATTCTTGTGCCTTCTCTTGGGGGTCTTTTATTTTTCTGTTGTTCAAATTTGATATAATGGTTTTCATTTTATTTCATTATATTTTATTTTGTTATGTTTTGTTTTTATCTCTTAGAAGCCTGTTCTTTGCAAATGAGAGATAGAAAGGGTGTGGATCCAGATGTGAGAGGAGGTGGGGAAGAACAGGGAGGAGTAGAGTGAGGGGAAACTGTATTCAGATTATATTGTATGACAGAAGAATCTATGTTTTAATAAAATAGAAAAAATCTTAAAACACTAGAGTTCCTTTTTGAGCAGAGGGACAGACAATGAATGAGGGCACAGTAGGGAGATGACAGTGCTAGCCTGAGGCACCATGATTATGACCGGGCTCTCTTCATTCTTGGTAATAGGAGGAATCCAGCAACCATGTGTCTGTTCTCATCAGTCATAAAGATGAAGCAAACAGATGAACTGTGCTGTCCTTGTCACATCAGGGTCCAAAAGATACATTTTAGACATTGAGTTAAAATAAATTACAAATTGTAGAGAATCTCACAACCAAAAATGAGTTATAAGTTCAGAAAACATTGAACTGTGAGGTTGGATGGTTTAAAAAGTACTCAATAGGAATTACTGTAAGCTCCAAGTATTTGTGATGCTTGGAAGGACTTTTGGGGGAAATTCCAAATGCAGAATGTCACCCACTTCTGTCTAACTATCTATCTGTGCAAAGATAATGATGGAGCTACAAGTGCACAGTGCAAGAGGTTTATCCTCACTCCTGTTATACACAACCAAATCATGCAGAGAGCACCAGGAATGGACAAAGATTTCCTATACAGCATTACTTATAGCCACAAAAGATAGGTCTACTATGAGTGAGTACTCCTTTTACTTAGCAGAGACATTGCTGTTCTTCCTGTCAAGCCTGCTCCTATGGGAGAATGTAGTCTCCATGACCCTTTGTTCCAAAAAACAAACGAAACAAAACAAAACCCCAAAAACCTGTCTACTGGCAGCAGGCCCCTGGGGAATTGTTTGACTGACTACTCAACTCTCCAGTCATCTACATTTATAACCTGTCTTCAGAAATGTCCACTGAATTTATAAGTATCTCTTATTTCTTCCACAAAGCAGCCTTCACCACAGCTCAACAAGAAAGCATCATGAAGCAAATTTCAAATGAAATACTTCGATAGAAAAAAAAAAAAAACTTCAGCCACTAGAATGGAGAACAAAGTGGATGTTTCATGAACTCTCAAAAAATTTCCATGCTGGCCAGCACCCAATTGGACTAAGAGAGCCTTTGTCCAGTGACTGATGGAGGCAGATGCAGAGATCCATGGCCAGGTACCAGGCTGAGCTCTGGGAATCCAATCAATGAGAGAGAGGAGGGAATCTGCAGGCGGGGGACATTGAGATAATGATGGGAAGATGTGCAGAGATGACAGGCCACATTAGTGGAAGCCCATGAACTGTAGACTAGTGGCTGTGGAGCCCCCATTGGACTGGACTAGGCCCTCTGGATATGGAAGATGGTTGTTTGGCTCAAGCTGTTTGGGGGGCACCCAGGCAGGGGTATCAGGATCCATCCCTGGTGCATGGGCAGGCTTTTAGGAGCCTGGTGCCTGTGGTGTGATGCCTCGTGCAGCCTTGGTGCAGTGGGGATGGGCTTGGACCTGCCTAGGCTCAGTGTGCCGGGCTTTGCTGACTCCCCATGGGAGACCTTGATTTGGGGGATATGGGGATGTTGGGTGGCCTGGGAGGGAGGGCTGGAGGGTGGGAGGAGGGAGGAGGTGGGATCTGTGGGTGGTATGTAGAGTGAGTAGAAAATTTCTTAAAGAAAAATGAAAAAAAAGTTTATAAATTTACCATGCTAAAAGAATTTTTTATTTTTTCTAATATATATTATACATTTTAATTTTTCTAATATGAAAATATTGTGTCCAATTTTGTGACTGATTTTATCATAATCAACACAACTATATTCTGAATTCCTGATGAACCTTGTGTGGTCAAGATACAGATGCAGAAGTATTTTAATAAAAGTCATAATATAATGCCTTGTTAAAGTAATCATCAATTTGAACCAAGTTACAGAGAGACTAATGACTATAGATACATAGGCGCTACAGCATTTGTCACAAATATTAGAGAAAGATGATACTTAAAACACTTAATATTTTCTAATTTTAACTGGTTTCAGTACTTGTTTTTCAAATAATAACTTTTAAGAGGGGTGATAAAGAGTAGTAAAGAGAAGACGAGAATGGGAGAATAGAAACTTACAGGAAAGAAATGAGATTACAGATTTAATGGGGGAAACAGACAAATATTGACTTTCTTTTTTTCTTTCCTCCCTTTTTTTTATTAAGGGATTTTCCATTCATTTTACATATCAACCACAGATTCCCCCGTCCTCCTTCCTCCCACCTCTCAGCCCTCCCTCCAGCCCCCTCATCAGCCCTCCAAGACAAGGTCTCCCATGGGGAGTCAGCAGAGCCTGGTACATTCAGTTGAGGCAGGTCCAAGCCCCTCTTCCCTATACCAAGGCTGCACAAAGTGTCCCACCATAGGCACCAGGCTCCAAAAAGCCAGCTCATGCACTAGGGACAGGTCCCACTCCCACTGTCTGGGGCCCCCCCAAACAGTTCAAGCTAATCAACTGTCTTGCTTATCCAGAGGGCCTAGTCCAGCACCATGGGGGCTCCTCAGCCATTGGTCCACAGTTCATGCGTTTCCACTAGTTTGGCCAGTCGTCTCTTCACCCTTTCCAATCGTGGTCTCGATATCTCTTGCTCATAGAATCCCTCCTCTCTCTCATCGACTGGACCTCTGGAGCTCCACCTAGGACCAGTTCTTGGATCTCTGCATCTGCTTCCATCAGTCACTGGATGAGGGTTCTATGATGACAGGGTATTCAGCCATCCGATCACCAGAGTAGGTCAGCTCAGGTACCCTCGACCACTGCCAGTAGTCTATGGTGGAGTCATCTTTGTGGATTCCTGGGGACCTCCCCAGCACCCTGCCTCTCCCAATTCCCATGGTGCATTCACCCATCACTGTGTCTCCTTCCCTCTTCTCCCACTCTTCTGATACAGCTCCCATTTCTTAGTTGTTGCTCTCAGTGTCTGTGCTACTGGTGTTATATTTAGGAAGTGATCTCCAGTGCCAATGCATTTGAGACTACTTCCTACTTTCTCTTCTATCAGGTTCATTGTAACTGGATTTATGTTGAGATCTTTGATCCACTTGGACTTATGTTTTGCGCACAGTAATAGATATGGATCTATTTGCAATCTTTTACATGTTGACATCCAGTTATGCCAGCACCATTTGTTAAAGATGCTTTCTTTTTTCCATAGTAAAGTTTTGGCTTCTTTGTCAAAAATTAGGTGTTCATATGTGTGTGGATTAATGTCAGGGTTTTCAATCGATTCCATTGGTCCACATGTCAGTTTTTATGCCAGTACCAAGCTGTTTTTATTACTGTAGCTCTATAGTAGAGCTTGATGCTGCCAGAGGTTGCTTTGTTGTACAAGATTCTTTTCGCTATCCTGCGTTTTTTGTTTTTCCATATGAGGTTGAGTATTGTTCTTTTGAGGTCTGTGAAGAATTGTGTTGGGATTTTGATGGGGATTGCATTGAATCTGTAGATTGCTTTTGGTAAGATTGCCATTTTTACTATGTTAATCCTACCTATCCATGAGCATGGGAGATCTTTCCATTTTCTGATATCTTCTGCAATTTCTTTCTTCAGAGACTTAAAGTTCTTATCATACAGGTCCTTCACTTGCTTAATTAGAGTTACCCCAAGGTATTTTGTATTATTTGTGGCTATTGTAAATGGTGATGTTTCTCTGATTTCTTTCTTAGCCCAGGTGTCATTTGTATATAGGAGGGCTACTTTTTTTTTTTTTTAGTTAATCTTGTATTCTGCCACATTACTGAAGGAGTTTATCAGCTGTAGGAGTTCCTTGGTAGAATTTTTGGGGTCACTTATGTATACTATCATGTCATCTGCAAATAGTGAAAGTTTGACGTCTTCCTTTCCAATTTGTATCCCTTTGATCTCCTTTTGTTGTCTTATTGCTCTAGCTAGAACTTCAAGTACTATATCAAATAAATATGGGGAGAGTGGATAGCCTTGTCTTGTTCCTGATTTTAGTGGAATCACTTTGAGTTTCTCTCCATTTAATTTGATGTTGGCTGTTGGCTTGCTGTAAATTGCCTTTATTATGTTTAGGTATGTTCCTTGTATTCCTGATCTCTCTAGGACCTTTATCATGAAGGGGTGTTGGATTTTGTCAAAGGCTTTTTCAGCATCTAATGAGATGATCATATGGTTTTTTTTCTTTCAGTTTGTTTGTATGGTGTATTACATTGACAGATTTTCATATGTTGAACCATCCTTGCATCCCTGGGATGAAGCCTACTTGATAATGGTGGATAATTTTTTTGATATGTTTTGGATTCAGTTTGCCAATATTTTGTTGAGTATTTTGCATCAATGTTCATGAGGGAGATTGGTCTGTAGTTCTCTTTCTTTGTTGCATCTTTGTGTGGTTTGGGTATCAGGGTAACTGTAGCCTCATAAAAAGAGTTTTGTAATGTTCCTTCTGTTTCTATTGTGTGGAACAATTTGAAGAGTATTGGAATTAGTTCTTCTTTGAAAATCTGGTAGAATTCTGCACTGAGGCCATCTGGTCCTGGGCTTTTTTTGGTTGGGAGACTTTTAATGACTGTTTCTATTTCCTTAGGGGTTATTGGCCTATTTAAATAGTTTGTCTGGTCTTGATTTAACTTTGGTATGTGGTACCTGTCCAGGAAATTGCCCATTTCTTTTAGATTTTCCAATTTTGTGGCATACAGGTTTTTGAAGTATGACCTGATGATTCAGGTCTGTTTTTATTACTGTAGCTCTATAGTAGAGCTTGATGCTGCCAGAGGTTGCTTTGTTGTACAAGATTCTTTTCGCTATCCTGCGTTTTTTGTTTTTCCATATGAGGTTGAGTATTGTTCTTTTGTTATGTCTCCCTTTTCCTTTCTGATTTTGTTGATTTAAATGCTCTCTCTCTCTGCCTTTTGGTTAAATTGGATAAGGGATTGTCTATCTTGTTGATTTTCTCAAAGAACAAACTCTTTATTTCATTGATTCTTTGTATTGTTCTCTTTTATTGATTTCGGCCCTCAATTTGATTATTTCCTGGCAACACTCCTGGGTGAGTTTGCTTCTTTTTCTTCTAGAGCTTACAGGTGTGCTATTAAGTCACTAGTGTGAGATTTCTCCATCTTCTTTATGTGGGCATTTAGTGCTATGAATTTTCCTCTTAGCACTGCTTTCACAGTGTCCCATAAGTTTGGGTGTGTTTTACTTTCATTTTCATTGAATTCTAGGAAATCTTTAATTTCTTTCTTTATTTCTTCCTTTACCCATTGATGTTTCAGGTGGGCATTATTCAGTTTCCATGAAACTGTAGGTTTTCTGTAAATTTTGTTGTTTTGAAATCCAACTTTAAGCCATGGTGATCCCATAAAATACAGGAGGTTATTCCAATTTTTTTGTATCTGTTGAGATTTGCTTTTTGACCAAGCATGTGGTCAATTTTTGAGAAGGTTCCATGGGGTGCTGAGAAGAAGGTATATTCTTTTGTGTTAGGGTGGAATGTTCTGTAGATATCTATTAAGTTCATTTGAGTCATAACTTCTGTTAGGTCCCTTACTTTTCTGCCAAGTTTCAGTCTGGTAGATCTATCCAGTGGTAAGAGTGGTGTGTTGAAATCTCCCACTGCTAGTGTGTGGGGTTTGATGTGCGTCTTAAGCTTTAGTAATGTTTCTTTTACAAATGTGGGTGCCCTTGTATTTGGGGCATAAATGTTCAGAATTCAGATTTCATCTTGGTGGATTTTCCCTGTGTTAAGTATGTAATGTCCATCCTGATCTCTTTCAATTGATTTTAGTTTGAAGTCTATTTTGATAGATATTAGGATAGCTACACCAGCTTGCTTCTTAAGTCCATTTGATTGTAAAGTCTTTTCCCAGCCTTTAAAGTTGAGGTATGTTTCTTGTATGCAGCAGAAGGATGGATCCTGTTTTTGTATCCATTTTGTCAGCCTGTGTCTTTTTATAGGTGAATTGAGACCATTGCTATTAATGGCCATTAATAACCAGTGATTGTTAATTCCTGTTATTTTTTTTTTTTTGGTGGGAGTATTGTATGTTTCTCTTCTTTGGTATTTGTTGGTGTGGGATTATCTATTGCCTGTATTTTCATGATTGTATCTAACTTCCTTAGGTTGGATTTTTTCCTTCTAGTGCTTTCTGTAGGGCTGGATTTGTGGATATAGTAGTCTGGGTTGGCATCCATGGTCTCTTAGTGTCTGCATAACATCTGTCTAGGACCTTCTGGCTTTCAGAGTCCCCATTGAGAAGTTATTCTGATGAGTCTGCCTTTATATATTACTTGGCCTTTTTCCTTTGCAGCTCTTAATATTTTTTCTTTATTCTGTATGTTTAGTGGTTTGATTATTATGTGGTGATGGGGTCTTTTTTTTTTTTTAATCCAGTCTATTTGGTGTTTTGTAAGCTTCTTGTATCTTCATAGGCATTTCCTTATTTAGGTGGGACAGTTTTCTTGAATGATTTTGTTGAATATATTTTCTGTGCCTTTGAGTTGGTATTCTTCTCCTTCTTCTATCCCTATTATTCTTAGGTTTGGTCTTTTCATGGTGTCCCAAATTTCCTGGATATTTTGTGTTATGACTTTTTTGGCTTTAGTGTTTTCTTTGACTGATGAATCTATTTCCTCTATTGTATCCTCTGCTGTGGGATGGTCTGTATGTCAAGTGTGTTGCTGATTGGTCAATAAATAAATCACTGATTGGCCATTGGCTAGGCAGAAAGTATAGGCGAGACAAGGAGGAGAATAAAGCTGGGAAGTGAAAGGCTGAGTCAGAGAGACACTGCCAGCTGCCACGATGAGAAACAGCATGTGAAGATGCTGGTAAGCCACGAGCCATGTGGCAAGGTATAGATTAATAGAAATGGATTAATTTAAGCTATAAGAACAGTTAGCAAGAAGCCTGCCATGGCCATACAGTTTGTAACCAATATAAGTCTCTGTGTTTACTTGGTCGGGTCTGAGCGGCTGTGGGACTGGCAGGTGAGAGAGATTTGTCCTGACTGTGGGCCAGGCAGGAAAACTCAAGCTACAATCCTCCATGCCAGAGATTCTCTCTTCTATCTCTTGCATTCTGTTGGTTATGCTTGCATCTGTAGTTCCTGTTTGTTTACTCAGATTTTCCATTTCCAGCCTTCCCTCAGTTGTGTCTTCTTTATTGCCTCCATTTCAGTTTTCAATTCTTGGACTGTTTCATTCATCTGTTTAATTGCTTTTTCTTGGCTTTCTTTAAGGGATTTAGTGATTTCTTCCAAATTTTTGTTTGTCTTTTCTTTGAATTATTTAAGGGTAGGTTTCATTTCTTCTTTAAAAGCCTCTATCATCTTCTTAATGTCATTTTAAAGGTCTCTTTCTCCTGCTTCTTCTGTTTTGGGATGTTTAGGTCTTGCTGATGTAGCACCACTGGGTTCTGATGGTGCCATATTGGTCTTTATGTTGTTGACTATATTTTTGCACTGGCATCTACCCATCTTTTCCTCCAATCCGTGCAAGTGCTGTCTGTGTCTAAGGGAGCCTCTTTTGATCTGGTTGATACTCTTTGTCTAATGGGAGCTCTTGGTCCAATCTGTGCAGTTCCCAATCGGTACAGTGTGTGCTTATGTCTCTGGTTTTCACTGATGTCATGGGGGGCTGTTTTCTGTTCCCAATAGGTGCAGGTGGGGCTTGTGACTCTGGTTTTTACTGTTGTTGCAGGGGGATGTTTTCTTGGTTAGGAAATATGGGAAGGGGCAGCTGGCCCGTCCCTGGAGCTCCAATGGCTTGGGGGCTAGGGACCTGGTCTGCCCAGTCCAGAGATGTGGCCTTACCTATTCCCAATAGGTACAGGTTGGCTATTCCTTTCTAAATAAAGAAAATCACTTTACAATATTCTGTTTCTCCTGGTGAATATTTGGATAGAAAAAGGTGTAACATTTAAAGCTTAAGCTTTGAGAATCTTTGAAAATGTTGTAAGTTCCAAGAAGGGGTTTTAGGGTGTATAAATGCAAGTTTATGTAAGGTCTGAGGATGTTAAGGTTTAAGTTGTGATAAGAAAGTGATTTAAGGTATATAAAAAGAAAGAATAATGCTTCAGATTTCTTTCTCTTCCTGTGCTGCTGTTAATGAAGAACCAAAGCATTCCCATTTCAAGCAAGCCCCTCACCCCAGCTTGAAACAGGCCTGAGTTTCAAAATTCTCAGAGCTGCTGACATAGGTCCCAGGACAAAGTCAGGATGTTTCAAGAGCCATCTGGTAACAACTGATTAAACACAGAATGCCCCGATGCCGGAGATGGTCAAAGTACAAAGTCAGGATGTTTAAAGGACTGTCTGGTAGCAATTGATTAACCACAGAATGCCCCAATGCCAGAGGTAGTCTACAAAGTTTAACAAACAACTGGTTAAAACTACAAAGTAAGATAACACAGAAATTCTGAAAAGCCCCTAAAACTTGAGCCAATCAGAATTGTACCCATACTAGCACCCCTAAATGATGCAACCTTGTGGTTTTTGTCTTTAAAAACTGAGCTTGCAGAGGGGCAGACACCTCCTCTAGCTCTGCTGTGTTTGGGGTGCTTGACTGAGGTCCCTGTTGCGTGGCTTGAACTGCTTCAATAAACCTTGCTTTTGTATTTCAGTGAGTTCATGTCTCTGGTGGTCTCTTTGGGGGTCTTGAGCCCAGGGCACAACAGTTAAGACTTCAAAACTTAAAGTCTTAACATTTAATCAATGCAGTTTTGATAAGCTGTTAATCTAGCTCTGAGAAAGCTTTGCTTCTATTATCATAGTCACACGCTCAAGATTTTAAATTCCCTTTGGTTGTTTCCTAAGTCCAGACTTAAAAGTGCTTCTTATTGTGCTAAAACGTCAGAATAATCAATATGCATCCAGTCTTCTGGATAGTAGGAAGAGGCCCTGCTTTTTTTATATTTAAAATCAAGATCAAGACAGACTTCGGCAGTTCTGGACCAAGAGGTGAGTTTGTTCTCCTAACTGATCACCCCAGCCTCTAGGCTTTAAACTTGGGGGCACAACCAGTTGCAGGCCAGCAGGCAGGACTCCTGCAGACAGGTCCAACTACCACCATTCCCCACCCTACCCTATAATGTATAAGCCCCAATCCACCCCCTAAACCCACCCATCCTCCAAGACTGCAGCTGCTCCCTGAGACACAGACTTTGCCAGGTCTGATTGGACCAAGAGGTGAGTCCTTGTTCTCCTAACTGATCATCCCAGCCTCTAGGCTTTAAGCCCAGGGGCACAACCAGTTGAAGGCCAGCAGGCAGGACTCCTGCAGGCAGGCCCAACTATGATCATCTTCCACTGGACCCTGTAACCTACAAGCAATCTACCTCCTAAACCCACCTATCCTCTGAGACTGGTGGAGCTGCTCCTTGAGACATACTTCACCAGCTGCAATTGGACCAAGAGCTCCAATTGGACCAAGAGAGGTGTCCTGAGACATAGACACCATTTTCACCAATTGGAGGAAGATATGGGTAGATGCCAGTGCAAGAATACATTCAACAACATAAAGAGCAATAGGATACCACCAGAACCTAATGGTTCTACGTCAACAAGACCTGAACATCACAATGTAGAAGCAGCAGAAGAAAATGACCTTGAAAGTGACTTTAAGAAGATGATAGAGACCTTTAAAGAGGAAATGAAAAATTCTCTTAAAGAAATTGAGGAAACGGCCAGGCGGTGGTGGCGCACACCTTTAATCCCGGCACTCGGGAGGCAGAGACAGGCAGATCTCTGTGAGTTTGAGGCCAGCCTGGGCTACAGAGTGAGTTCCAGGAAAGGCGCAAAGCTACACAGAGAAACCCTGTCTCAAAAAACAAAAAACAAAAAAACCAAACCAAACAAAACAAAACAAAAAAACAACAAGAAATTGAGGAAACGACAAACAAAAAATTCAAAGAAATCAATAAATCCCTTAAAGAAAGCCAAGAAAACCAAGAAAAAGCAATTAAACAGGTGAAGGAAACAGTTTAAGACCTGAAAATTGAAATAGAAACAATGGTAAAGACACAAGCTGAGGAAATGCTGGAAATAGAAAATCTGATTAAATGGACAGGAACTACAGACACAAGCATAACCAACAGAATACAAGAGATGGAAGAGAGAATCTTGGGCATGGAAGATACAATAGAGGAAATAGATTCATCAAAGTAAATATTAAAGCCAAAAATGTCATAACACAAAATGTCCAGGAAATCTGGTACACCATCAAAAAACCAAACCTAAGAATAATAGGGATAGAAGAATACCAACTTAAAGGCTTAAAGAAAATATATTCAACAAAACCATATAAGAAAACTTTCCCAACCTAAATAAGGAAATGCCTATGAAGATACAAGAAGCTTACAGAACACCAACTAGACTGGATAAAAAATAAAAGTCCCCTCACCACATAATAATTAAACCACTAAACATACAGAATAAAGAAATATTAAGAGCTGCAAAGGAAAAAGGCCAAGTAATATACAAAGACAGACTCATCAGAATAATACCTGATTTCTCAATGGAGATTCTGAAAGCCAGAAGGTCCTGGGACAGACATTATGCAGACACTAAGAGACCATGAATGCCAACCCAGACTATTATACCCAGCAAAACTTTCAAACACCATAGACAGAGTAAACAAAATATTCCAAGATAAAACTAGATTTAAACAATACCTATCCACAAATCCAGTCCTACAGAAAGCACTAGAAGGAAAAAATCCAACCTAAGAAAGTTAGATACACCCATGAAAACACAGGCAATAACTAATCCCACACTAAAATCCCAAAGAAGGGAAATAACATTACCACCAAAAAATAACAGGAATTAACAATCACTGGTCATTAATATCCCTTAATAGCAATGGTCTCAATTCACCTATAAAAAGACACAGGCTAATAGAGTGGACATGAAAACAGAATCCATCCTTCTGCTGCATACAAGAAACACACCTCAACTTCAAAGACAGACACTATCTCAGAGTAAAGGGCTGGGAAAAATCTTTCCAGTCAAGTGGACTTAAGAAGCAAGTTGGTGTTGCTATCCTAATATTTATCAAAATAGACTTCAAACTAAAATTAATCAAAGAGATCAAGAAGGACATTACACATTCATCACAGGAAAAATCCATTAAGATGAAGTCTCAATTCTGAACATTTATGCCCCCAATACAAGGCCACCCACATATGTAAAAGAAACATTGCTAAAGCTTATATTACACATAAAACCCCACACACTAATAGAGACTTCAATTCCCTACTCTTGCCAAATAGACAGGTCTGCCAGATAGGAACTTAACAGAAAAATATGGGAACTAACAGATGTTATGACTCAAATGGACTTAATAGACATCTACAGAACATTCCACCCAAACACAAGAGAATATACCTTCTCAGTACCCCATGGAACCTTCTCTAAAATTGATCGCATACTCAGTCACAAAGCAAATCTCAACAGATACAAATAAATTAGAATAACCAGTGTTTTATCAGACCACCATGCCTTAAAGTTAGAATTCAACAACAACAACAACACAAATTACAGAAAGCCTACAAAATCATGGAAACTGAATAATGCTCAACTGAATCACCACTGGGTCAAGGAAGAAATAAAAAAAAAATTAAAGACTTCCTAGATTTCAATGAAAATGAATGTACAACATACCCAACCTTATGGCATGCTATGAAAGAAGTACTAAGAGGAAAGTTTATAGCACTAAATACTTCATAAAGACGTTGGAGAAATCTCACACTAGTGACTTAACAGCACACCCAAAAGCTCTAGAACAAGAAGAAGCAAAGTCATCCAGGAGGAATAGACACCAGAAAATAATCAAATTGAGGGCTGAAATCAATAAAATAGAGAACAATTTACAAAGAATCAATGAAACAAAGAGTTTGTTCTTTGAGAAAATCAACAAGACAGATAAACCCTTATCTAAACTAACCAAAAGGCAGAGAGAGAGAGAGAGAGAGAGAGAGAGAGAGAGAGAGAGAGAGAGAGAGAGAGAGAGAGAGAATATCCAAATTAACAAAATCAGAAATACAAAGGGAGACAACAGACAACAAGTGGTGGTGAGGGAAGAACTGACACCGGACAGCTCTTTGTCATAGCTTTCTCTGTGGTGGGTTGACCCTGAACAGCAGTAGAGATTCTGAGCTTCTTGCCTGAGTGGATGATTAGAGGGCATAGCAACCTTCGAAGGCTTGCCGGCAGAACCTTCTGCCTCTTCACTGCCTGGGAGAGGACAACTGTGGGTCATCCTGCTGGAGGCACAAACAACAGAAGAATGGATACAGTTTCATATGTTAAAAGAATGTTAAAAGGAAAATAAGGAAACTAGAAGTCTCAGCATGAATTCATCTAGACCTAGATCAAGTGGTAGTGGAGAAGAAATCTCATTTCATGAAAATGAGAGAAGATGGCAGCAAGAGCGTCTCCACAGAGAAGAAGCCTATTACCAGTTTATTAATGAGCTCAATGATGAAGATTATCGGCTAATGAGAGACTACTACCTTTTAGGCACCCTTGGAGAAATAACATCGGAGGATCTACAACAGCACTTAGATCCCAGCCTGGCTTGAGGAGCGGGACAAGTAAGGGAGACTCAGAAAACCTTAAAGAACATTCAGATGAAGATTCTCTACTACGATGGCTGAACACTTTTTGGCACACTGGAAATGTGACTCGAAGTGGACAGAATGGGAACCAAAGTTGGAGAGCTGTGAGCCGAACAAACCCAAACAGTGAAGAGTTTGGGTTCTGCCTGGAAATCCACATAAATCCTGACAACAGAGGTTCTGGAGCTCATGGAGAGGATTATACAGACATTCCTGTGTCCGGTGTTAGCAGAGATCCTAGGCAGCAAAGATCTAGTCCTGTGGCTATGCGAATGAGAAGCCAAACCTCCAGGTGTTCCAGTGGTGGTGACTCCAGTGTTCCAGGGGGTAGGCGTAGTGCAAGGGGGCAGGGTTCAGTGCAAGGATTGTTCTCAGCACGGGGAAGGATAAGAAATGGAACTGAAGGAGCAGTCGGTGTTCCTAGAGTTAGTGGCCATCGTACTAATGTTACCAACACTCACACAAACCAGTCAGATGGTAGTAATCTCAGGCAAAGGGAATGGCAGCGGTTTGGAGCAGCACATATTTGGGAAAATGGGGCTAAAAGTAATGTTACAGTGAGAAACACAAACCAAAGATTAGAGCCAATAAGATTACATCCTGTTTTCAGTAGTTGAAGCCGGTCCCCAATTCATACACAGAATGGTACTGTTCATCCTAATTTCCAAAGGCAGAGTAGACCACTACAGCAAACTGGTAGCATAGAGGTGTAACTCAAGTCTTTCTGGAACAAGATAGAGCACGCAGAGGTACCATTTATATGCCGCTGTCCAACTCAAGACTTGTGTCAAGAGTAACAGTAGAAGGAGAAATCACCTGGTCCTCAGCTGCCACACAGCACCATCCAGCAATCACACTAGACCTGCAAGTCAGGAGGATTTGTCCTGGAGAAACTAGAGATAGGAATAGCATCGCAAATAGAACCCGATCGAGGGCAGGGCTGGCGTAAAGTACAGTTGAAAGCAACAGCGGGGTCTTTCACAGAACCATTTCTCATTTAGAGCGGTCAG